AAACAAGAGATGACTTCTCTGTCAACATATTTGATTGTTCTTTTAGATTGTGTTATTTTTTGGAGAGAGTTCTTTCTAAGTTTGGTGATAGTTACTTTGGAAGAAGCGCAAACTTTAGACTCCATCATATTTCATATTGAGAGGTAATTCCTAAACCAACGTCAATTTTTCCTCAATTTAAAGTCCTGAATTATGTGTTCAGAAAGAATTATATTGTCATTGTATAATCAATTGTGAACCCATTTTTGTTCCAGCTGTTGAAAATATCTCTACGCCTCAGAAGCCCAGGTATTCTCTTCTTTTCTTTGCACACTTTTCTCCTCCTCAACATGATGGTCATTCGGATTTCTTAATGCTTGTTGAGTCTAATTTAAATTCATGTTTGTTCACAGTTTTGATCTTAGCCAATAATGCTTAGAGTTTCTTTGAATTAATTTATTACTATTATGTATTCAATTGCATATAATGCAATTGGAGTGTTAACAAAGGTATAAACAAGGGTTCAAGTATTCGTTAGACCAACTAGCAAGCTACGAAAGCTCTTACCTTGCATGAACTGTTAGTTTGTATTATTCGTTTAACTATTCTAAATATTTGTTCTTTTTTTTTATTGAAAGCAGGAGAAAAAAAATTCAAATCATTTCTTTTTTAATTGTATGGAAATTATTCTTTTTTAATACAACATTGGTTTAGGCATCAATCGGATCTTATAGCTTTAATAGTGTACGTGAATTTACGAATGTAGGTCTAAAAATAAGTGGTAAGCTGAACTTGGCAACAAGGATTCGGTTAGCTGAACTTGGCAACAAGGATCCAGGTGGCTCATGTGGCTCTCAAGCATCGCTTGAAGGTAACACAATAATAAAGGATTATTGTATTCAAGGTAGGGTAATCTATACTTCTAATAATTTCATTATCCTCAATCTTTTTCTTCTTTTGTTTTGTTCTCTTTACTAATTGTTACACTTTGTGAGTTTAGCCCTCTAACATGTGACGATGAGTTAGAGATTATTGGAAGGACATTAAAAAGGAACAGTGTGTCTGTCACCGTAGTTAACTTTGATGAGGAAGATGAGGAAATGCCCTTTCTGACATGCTGACCCATGTTGCAAAGTACTGCTCTATTACGTATGTTTCTCACTAGAATACGGTCCTACATTTTACTTTGAACGATTACTAATTTTGCATAATTTGACATATTCATTACAGGAATCATATTCTATATTCAAGTGCAAAACTATCCCATTTGATACCTTGTAATTTTTTCTTTTTTATTTTTTAGCAGTTGATGGCAGTATTGTTGCAAAGAAAAGACGCATTAGAATGGGCTCATACAGGAAAAGACGCCGTCAAGTCAATTTGGTTCTTGCTTGTGCTAAAAAATATTATACTTTGGTAGGTTTTCTACTCCTCTCTTTCCCGTTGTTCATTGTAGTACTCGATATGAAAATGAAGTACTCAAAGAATATACTTCTCTTATGGTTCAACTTATAATCTCTTGCACCATTTATGTTCTTCGATGTGACCATTTATTTTTTTATTTTCTTCTTTTCTTAGGTTTGTACCCTTACTTAATGAAATCATTTACTGTGGTGATAGAGAGGTCACGAAAGAAATTAAAAGCACATGCCAGAAACAATAGAGCCCAGGCACTGTTACTTTCTACTCAGTTCTGGAAACTGCACCTTTGCTGTGTCTTATGTATAGTTGTCTTTGATCTCTGTGTACCTTTGATTATGTCAATTTATCTTCGAGATATTTGGTTATCTTTAACGTTGATGTTCCCAATGATTTTAATTCTTTATGCACTTTCACCAACAAATGTACAAGAACTTTCATGCTTCTAACTTGTAACTTTGTTTTGTTTTGTAGCACTACTTTTGCACAAAACCTCTTCAATGAAGTTTAAATTTAGCAGGAGTGTATTGTTGGCTTCATGATACTTTTCTACCTGTAACTTAAATGTTATAGTGTATAAAATTCAGCTTTTAAGATGTATAAATCATCTTTTACTTACTCATTAGAATATATTTTTTAACTTGTCTTCATCTTTAAATTAAAAGGCATGCAGAAATTTGATTTGACGAATATGAGATATCTTCCAACACTAACACAGTTTCCTTTTTTTCCTTCTTTTTTCCCTACGCTATTACATACTCGATTATATCAAAGCACGTGCGTCTCACTACTACTTGGCAAAAGACACTCCACACAAATATTTTCAACATGCACGGAAACAACACACTTCTAGATAATATCCATCACCGGCTCGACCACCCCCAAACTTTTTTCACAATATGGTTAAGTGAAAAAGAAGTGAGAATATGATTGACATAAATTTATGCACAGCTCACAACCTAGTTCAACAACTTCAAAAATTTCTCCATCAATCAACCATTTCCAACTCTAGACAACAACCAATCGTGATTAGTGTGCTCAAAGTGGTATAATATCTCACATGGACAAGCAAATTTCAAGATCGAGGCAAATAACATGATTGAAGATAACTTATGAATTAACAACAATTTTAAATATCACATCAAATCATCAAAAGCCGACAAGGCTATCCAACATGTCAATGTTGACACCACTATAAGAACAATATATAAGCGCAATATCCCATCAACACCCCCAAACTTAATTTATACATTGTCCTCATTGTGTACATAACCAATAAAAATAAGTAAAGAGGGTCAACGAAACTTCCCTGATTAGGTTTTTGTTGAAGTTTGTTGTCAATGACTTTTTGGGTCATGGCTTAATGTACACTCCCAAGCTTGTTAAGATTTATGGGTGGCTAGGACTTCAATAATTAGGACCTACAAAAGAATGGTATTAATTCAAAATTCAATAAAAAAAGTATTAATCACAAGTAACATAAAAAAAGGAAAAAAAGGAAAGGATAAGAAAGTTGGGTTGCCTCCCAACAAATGCTTGGTTATAGTCCCGAGCTTTGAAAATTGAATTGGTGCATACTTAATACCTAATATATGAATCTTTCCTTATAAATGTAGAGCAGAAAGTTGGATTTAAATGTCATGTTAATTCAAGAGTAATTCTAGAAGTTTATAATATTTGTAAGGACATTATTATCTATAAATAAAAAATATATAGAACAATACAGGAAATCCAATGAACCCATTAAATCAGGATCCGACAGCAGGGAACATAACTTAGGAGAAAATTTCTATTCGATCAAAATAGGAAATCTCAGTCGGTTACATAACTTCTTAGGAGAAATTTATCCACTATTTCAATTTCAATCACATATTCTTCCAAAAAAATAATAAATAAAAAATAAATAAATAAATCATCTTTCAAGTCTTCTCATATTTTTTTCCCTACATATTAACAAAATATTCTCAAAAAATCCTTTCTTGAAAAATCTTTATCAAACAAGCGCTTAAGAAGATGATTTGTAGATTTCTATATGAAAGCCATTTCCTAAAGTCTTGTATATGGTAAATAATTTGATAGCTTAACGAAGTTGGTTCTGTTTGGGTCAAGGCAATTTTTCATCAAATATGAACCTTTTGATTTGTTGACTTTCAGGATTGACAGTTGCGATTGAAAGCCACGGTAATTTGTCGTCATGTCCTTGTAGAAATTTATCCATTATTTCAATTTCAATCACATATTCTTCCAAAAAAATAATAAATAAAAAAAAAAAAAAATAAATCATCTTTCAAGTCTTCTCATATTTTTTTCCCTACATATTAACAAAATATTCTCAAAAAATCCTTTCTTGAAAAAT